TTCTTAAAAACCTAAAAATTCCATAATTTCAAAATTCTCAACAACCCAAAAATTCCAGAATTCCAAAATTCTCAACAACCCAAAAATTCCAGAAGTCCAAAATTCTCAAAAACCCCAAAATTCCCAAAAACCCTGAAATTCAGAATTCCAAAATTCTCAAAAACCCAAAAATTCTCAAAAACCCCAAAATTCTCAAAAACTCCAAAATTCCAGCATTTCAAAATTTTCAAAAACCCCAAAATTCTAGAATTCCAAAATTCTCAAAAACCCTAAAATTCCAGAATTCCAAAATTTACAAAAACCCCGAAATTCTAGAATTCTAAAATTCTCATAAATCCAAAAATTCCATAATTCCCAAATTCCATAAATTCCAATAATCGCAAGATTTCAAAAATTTCAAAAATTCCAGTCTTACAAAAATCTTAGATACCTCCATCAATTCTAAAATCCCATCATTCCAAAATTCCAAAATTTCAAAATTCCACAATGCCAATATCTGTAACCTCCACCTCAACCAGATCTCACCCCCTCGACCGATTCTTTCTTTTGCTCGTCACTGTTATGTTTCCTGCCACTCATCTCGTTGTTTTACGACACTCGCGTTCTCGGTTAAGCCATTTTACGAGCATCTTCATGAAAACGGCCGTTGAACGTCGACGCATTCGTTAATTCCAGCCGACGAGTCCATGGTCGTGCAATGGGCAATTAAGAACGACTTCGCGACGATTGATCAAAGCTCGAGGACGCGTCGTCCAATCGCGGAAAGATCGATTACTGTTATACAAAATAGCGAAAACGATTCTTCGGTATCAAAGAGCTACTTGAAACTGACTTGGATCTACGCCAGCAAGCGTTTAATCCCACGGCTAATAAAGATCACCGAGTCCTCTGTATTTCTCGAAAATTGAAACTCTTCTTCATTTTCGAACGTCATTTACTTACGACAAGGTGTAATTAATATTGCGCTGTACAGGAAACTATATTTCTCCTGACAACAATTTTTATATGTTCAAATTATTTGATGTGGTGATTGAGAAAGCATTGGTAATAAAAATGAAAGACTGACTTTTATGATGTTTTCTGAATGGTCTGTTTATTCAATTTTTTGTGAAATAATAATAAGATGTAATATAAGTTATAACATATGTGACATAAGATAATAAGATGTAATTCTACATACAGGGTGTCTCACAATTAGTGTAGGTCCTTGAAATTGGTAGCTGACGTGATTCTGAACAAGATTTCCCTTTGCAAAAATGGAGTATGGAGCTTCGTTTTTGAATTATTAAGGAAAAACACGACCCACTCAGAGGATTACGCATGCGCAGACGCGAGAGCGACAGCTTCGAGTCTACTGGCTGATTGCTACGCGTTAGATTACCACACGTTGGATTATTACGCGTTGGATTATTACGCACTGGATTACTATGCGTTGGTTAACTACGCGTTAGATTCCTACGTGTTGGATCACTACGCGTTGAATATCCACACGCTGGATTACTACGCGTTGGATTATTACGCGTTTGATATCCACGCGTTGGATTACTACGCGTTGGATTATTACGCGTTTGATATCCACGCGTTAGATTCCTACGCGTTGGATTACTACGCGTTGAATATCTACGCGTTGGATTATTACGCGTTGGATATCCCACACACTGGATTACTACGCGTTGGATTATTACGCGTTGGATATCCACGCGTTAGATTCCTACGCGTTGGACTACTACGCATTGAATATCTACGCGTTGGATTATTACGCGTTGGATATCCATATGCTGGATTACTACGCGTTGGATCATTACGCGTTGGATATCCACGCGTTGGATATCCACGCGTTGGATATCCACGCGTTGGATATCCACGCGTTAGATTCCTACGCGTGGGATTACTACGCGTTGAATATCTACGCGTTGGATTACTACGCGTTGAATATCCACGCGCTGGATTACTACGCGTTGGATATCCACGCGTTAGATTCCTACGCATTGGATTGCTACGCGTTGAATATCTAAGCGTTGGATTATTACGCGTTGGATATCCATATGCTGGATTACTACGTGTTGGATTATTACGCGTTAGATTACTACGCATTCGATTACTACGCGTAGGATTACTACGTGTTGCATTACTACGCGTGGAACTACCAAGCGTTGCATTACTACGCGTTGGATTATAACACGTAGGATTACCAAGCGTTGCATTACTACGCGTTGAATATCCACGCGCTGGATTACTACGCGTTGGATATCCACACGTTGGATTACTACGCATTGGATATCCACACGTTGGATTACTACGCGCTATCCGAAACTGCCGTTTTCGCGTCTGTACACGCGTCCTCGCGCTCTGGTTGGTCCGTATTTTTCCTTAATAATTCAAAAACAAAACTTCAAACCTTATTTTTACAAAGGGAAATTTTATTCAGAATCACGTCAGCTACCCACCATTTCAGGGACCTACTAATTGTGAAACACCCTGTATACAGAAGTAGTAAATTCACAGTCACTCATATTATAGTTTACAGTAAAATTATGGAGGTCGAACATTAGTATGTAATAATACGTGTAATAAGACACATTATAGAGTACAATAATTTAAAACAGAATTGATTAAACTTTAAATTTCCTTCAAATTTAAATAAACCTAACCTAACTTGGCTTTCTACAAATTTTAATTTGATCGATCTTACAACCTCACAATACTTAATACAATCTACCTAAAACTTCTTAATATTATATAATAAAAATTGAAAAGTGATATTTAACGAGTCGAAGGTTTTTAATATACAATAAAAGGTGATGACTCACCCGGTGTTGGCAAAGAGATGACAAAATGTAGGTGGATGATAGAAAGATTAAAGGGTGTGTTAATCGCGTGTTTGGAAATAGGATACTTCCGTGTTTGATAGATCACAAGATACGTTGCCCAAAAATAAATGAAACATATTCTGTAACGACGTAAAAGGGATGTTTTGATGATGGAGTGTCACGGGAGGGCAATATCGTAATTTATCTTAGGAGTTTATTAATTATGTCACTGAGGGATGAACTTCCGTGTTTAATTCAATGAGAACACCTTTCTCATCATTTGGATTATATTTTCAATTTGACATTCGCATGTTTTCTGTAATTTATGATTTTTTTTATGAAACTTGGTATGTTCATTAGGTTATAGTTTTGATGTTTTATATGGTACATTGTATGAGCAAATATTTATTAAATATTAAAAAATTCTTTAAATGTAAACTTTAATTTAATTTTAAAAATGTAACGAAACTACAAAATGGATCTGCAACCTTACTTTCAAAATATTAAACTACAGTAATGTAGTCGAGTAGACCTAATTTGCCAAAGATTTGTCATTTTCACAGCGTTCACTTATTTCGCGCCACGGAATAAATCCTCGTGGCGAAAGGATTAAATTAGACAGTATTTTCAACGGAAACGATTAGAATATCGGTGAAACTGTAGAACGTAAGCCGTTTCGGTCGCAACCGCTTCGGAATCGTGACAAACACGCTGGTGCTAGCCGTCGTCGTAAAAATAATGAAGATCGAGGTTCGCTGGAAGTAGTTTATTATGAAAACCGCATGATGTGCCGAAGGAGTTAAGGGCTTGGCCTAAACTTACGGCTCGTTCTGTACACTTGGCAGCGAGGTCTTTGCACCGTGAAGTTTACTTTATAAATATCGCCGGTACGCCGGAGTGTCCAGAGAAATGAACCGTGTCTTGGATGAAACGAACTCGGCCTTTTTGCTCCGATCATAAGGAATCCGTGTTTTTGATCCGTTACACGTGATTATTTTCTGATTCACCGAGCTCCTTTTCGCATTTTCGAGCGACATCTTGGAAACCTTGCTATCGCTGTTCTGTGTCTGATAATCGCTAAATGTTCTGATACAATTTCGCGAAGAAAAGTTTCGCGAAATGGTGCTTGTGGTATATGAATTTAAAGCTTAAGACCTCATGAAAATGACTGCATAAAGGTTTCATCAATAAGCTTGACATAAAATGACTGGCTCTTCATGCAGGTAAAGAAACACTCATGTAGTTACAACTTCTAATTTTCAGAAAGAAAAATTCCCATTTCAATTTCATGACATAAAAGTTTCACAAAATGGCACTTATGCTATATGAAATTAAGGCTTGAAGCTTCATGAAAATGACTGTATAAATGTTGCAACAATATTCTTTATGTAAAATAGCTGACTCTTCGTTGAAATACAGAAAAACACATTTACTGTACAACTTCCAATTTTGAAACATCAAAATTTCCATTTAAATTTCATGACAGAAAAGTTTCACAAAATGGCACTCATGCTATATGAAATTAAAGCTTGAAGCTTCATGAAAATGACTGTATAAATGTTTCAACAATATTCTTTATGTAAAACAGCTGACTCTTCGTTGAAGTACAGAAAAGCACATTTACTGTACAACTTCCAATTTTGAAACATCAAAATTTCCATTTAAATTTCATGACAGAAAAGTTTCACAAAATGGCACTCATGCTATATGAAATTAAAGCTTGAAGCTTCATGAAAATGACTGTATAAATGTTTCAACAATATTCTTTATGTAAAACAGCTGACTCTTCGTTGAAGTACAGAAAAGCACATTTACTGTACAACTTCCAATTTTGAAACATCAAAATTTCCATTTAAATTTCATGACAGAAAAGTTTCACAAAATGGCACTTATGCTACATGAAATTAAAGCTTGAAGCCTCCTGGAAAAGACTGCATAAACGTTTCATTGGTATTTTTCATACAAAATGGTTGATCACTAATCATACCAATGACCTATTCCGAAACACATACAAAATGACACGATTTGAAATTATCATAAAATAGCAACTACCTACTACAAATTTAAGATTAAAATTCTACTAACTATACACAAATCTTTGTTTAAAACTGTCGTATACAAAATTCCCATAGTTACATCACTATCGTTACTCCAGAAGTATCAAGGTACAAATTAAAAGTCCATCATTTCAATTTCAGATCATTTAATTATTTCATTCATCAACATTAATCTATATAAAAATAGTTGATAGGCAATAAAACAGTTACATAATATTTAATACATAAATAAATATTCAACTGTAAATTTGTATCCTACATGAAGCAGTCGTTAGTTCTGTAATGAGCATAATTCCGTATATTACTATTGATTAAATTCCTCTTTTATGTACAATTCTCTATTATTTTGCAAAATTACTCCTTCCAGCGAGAGAACGTAACTTCCTTCGCTCCGTATGACGCATTATAGAAAATATGTGCGATTGCAAAGTGAACATATATAATTTTTATCCTTTCAAGATAAATATTCAGAGTATAATTATTTCGCTTAGTCGGTTATTTCTTTGTAACGTTGCTGGGTCTTTCGCCATAAAGCCTGCTTCTTTTCCGTGGTTGAATCTAGCTCGATTGTAGGAAATTCACTCGTTGCACCGAGACCGGTTTTGCTTGGATTATTCGTCAATGATACCTGCAACCATAAATGAATACGATTTGAAGAATATGTATATGCTTTTTGTTTAAAGTATCGTTCCTTTCATGTTTTACAAGCACGAATTAATTCAGTGCCTTTCACAGCACGTTCTCCTCATTACGGTCTTAAATTAGAATATTTCGACACTTTGAAATTAGTGCGATCGAGAAGTTGGAAATAGAGGAATTTGATAGTTTGGGAGGAGAGGAATTTGGAGATTTGAGAATTTGAAGTAGTGGAAATTAGGAAATATAGATATTTGGGGAGTTAGGAGTTTGGGAGGTAGAAAGTTGGGGGATATAGAGATTTGGGGATTTAAGTATGTGGTAATTATCAAGTTTGGAAATATAGAGATTTGGGGATTTAAGAGTGTGGTAATTATTAAGTTTGGAAATATAGGGATTTAGGCATTTGAGAATTTAAGGTAGTGGAAATTAGGAAATATAGATATTTGGGGAGTTAGGAGTTTGGGAAATAGAGAGCTGGGAAATATAGGAATTTGGTGATTTAAGGATATGGTAATTATCAAGTTTGGAAATATAGGGTTTGGGGATATGAGAATTTGGGGCTTTGATAATTTTGAAATATAAACATTTGGGGATTTAGAAGTTTGGAAAATAGAGAGTTGGGAAATATAGACATTTGGGAATTTAGAAGTTTGGAAAGTAGAGAGCTGGGTAATATAGGGATTTGGGATTTAAGAATGTGGTAATTATCAAGTTTGGAAATAGGGGGATTTGGGGATTTGGAGCTTTGATAATTTTGAAATATGGACATTTGGGAATTTAGAAGTTTGGAAAGTAGAGAGTTGGGAAATATAAGGATTTGGGATTTAAGAATGTGGTAATTATCAAGTTTGGAAATATAGAGATTTGGGGATTTACGAATTTGGTAATTATCAAATTTGGAAATATAGGGATTTGAGGATTTGAATGTTTGGTCAGATAGAAATTTGGAAATCTAAGAATTTGGCAATTAGAAATTTTTTGAATTTTGGATTTTAAGGACTTGAAAATATGGGGTTTTAAAAATTTATAAATATAAATATTTGGAAAGTAAAGAGTTTGAAAATATAAAAATTTGGAAATTTCATTAATTAAACATCATCTACTTCACAATTTCTGGATATGGGATAGAAAATTGATCAACTCTATTTAACAAATGTCAATATTTTTAGATTTTTAAATTTTGAAAATTCACAAATTAAGAATTAAGATATTCTAACATAATTGGCACTCCAGTTTTTTAAATTTCAAAGAATAATATTCAATAAAGTGCAATTATTCTTCAGTATTTCGAACCAAACGTATTCGGAATTAATTTTCCGCCATTGTTCAAAATGACGCCATATTGGCGGGCAATTCAATTTCGTTTTAATCGCAATCCTACTAACATTCTTCATTATATTAATATAACACAGTATCAAGTTAATTAAAATACATTTGTAATCGTGTCAGAAAGAGTACAATAGCTAATAGAAGGAGTACAAATATTAATAATAAACCGCCGATAAATGTTCACTGAGATCAAAGAGAACATTACGACGTATTACGAACATATTAAAATTAAGTATATCTACAATTTATAATGTATGTAAAAAGCTTTTGAAAACAAATTTGTTGAAGATATATCTTACATCCCATATATGGAATATTCCATATATAAGATACATCTTATATCTCATATATCTTATATAAGATATATCTCATATATGGAATATTTTCACATATTCCAAAGAATTAGTTCTGCTATCTATTTTCTGTAAATATTTTGCAAAAAATTATAATTCAACAATTCTACTTTTTTTATATTATTTTTGCTCTTCTATATTATTATAAATTAAAACTACTAGTCTCTGATTATAGATTTTATTTAGAAGGTGTACGAAAGATGACAGTTATGGGGATAAATTACCCCTTCATTTATCTCAACCATTTAGAATGCAATGTAAGAAGACATGCACGACATAATAAATAAAACGCGAAGACATAATAAATAAAATTATTTATAAATAAATTTATCGCAAGTTAACATATTATGAAATGATCTTGGTATCTAAAGAACAAATTTTTTTGACAAAGTAAAGAAATTTCGACGGGTTTATATCTACGAACGGTACACAAGAAACGTGAAAAATATTCGTGAAGATCGAATGGGCGGGCACCCTTTTATCGAGGGAGGGTTACTTTAAGTTTGGAGTCTGAACCACCGGGCAGAACACCCTCTCCCGAGCCGTATTTGGGCCAAGTGGCCTCCCCCTAAGTCTGGCTTGTAAATGAGGCCCTATCTACCGTCGTCGACACTTGACTTACTTGGTTGAAAGGAAAAGAGACGAAAAGGAAAGAATGGAAAGAGGGTGCAGAAAAAAAAGGAAACACGAAGATAGGATTCCGTGCACCAGCCGGGAACACGAAAACAAGGTACGATCTAGCTGGAGATAAAAATATCAAGGAAATGCATTTCTTCGTTGCCTCGGGAGAAACTCGCGAAAAATGCGATAAAATTTATAAATAAAGCCTGGATAATACGGTGTAAACGTTTAGCAAAAATTTATCGTCTGGAATGCTTCGAAATAAAAAGATTCCTTTTCTTTTTATTTCGATTTAACCCTGTGTGCGCTTCAGTTACTTCTACTGCTTTATACGTCGCTTGTTCACACATGTCGTGACAAATACATGCATAATGTATTGTACAATACATAATACAAATGATAAAATATAAACAGAGTCTTTTAGAATATTAAATTAATTATATTAAATTAAATTGGAATATGAAGTAGATGTATGAGTATGTTTGACTATTTTTTATTATAAGAGTTATGGGGGTTAATTAACCCTCCTAGTGTACTCATCACAACTATTTAACAATTCTTCCTTTTTTATATTATTTTTGCTCTTCTATATTATTGTAAAATGTACTAGTACCTCTGATTATAGTTTTTTATTTACGTGTATGAAAGATGACAGTTATGGGAGTAAACTACCCCTTCATTCATCACAACCATTTAACATTTTTTTTTATATTTTATATAGAAATTTTATAACAATAAATTATACAATAAATGTTGAAATAAATTACACGACAAATTATGTAATAAATTATACAATATTTAATATGAAAACTTATACTATAAATAATAATAAACAACCGATTAGTATATAAGTGATAAATTATTATATAAATAATAAAGTATTATTATTTATTGTTACTTAACATTTATTCTTTATATTATTTACATACAATAAATTAAAAATTTATTACAACTATAAAATATACTTCTATTTAATCATTTTAAATAAAAATGAAATGAAACAACGAAATGAATCACAAGATATTAACTCATTGTTCATCACTGAAAATCGAAAGGAATTTAACAAAAATCGAGAAGCATGTTGTTTAAATAAACATTATTGAACGTCCAAGTATGATAAAATCGTAAGAAATTTCGACGAGTTTGCAGAGGAACGAACAGCCGAGGAAATCTCGAGATGTCTTTTATAACGTTCCTTTGCCCGCTTCTTGTATCTTAAAAGAACGTCGTTTTATAAGTTTTAAGTGGCTGCAAAATGTGACACAGCGAATGGTTTTCAGGCTTCAAACGAGTCGAGTGTTCTTACTTTCGCCTACGTGGAATTCGCTAAGCAGCAGAGATAACTCATTAAGGAAACGACAAGGTAAGCCACGACGAAATGTATAATAATTAACACAGAATCGTGAGAAGTATCGGGTCGCTGCATCGATTCTTGCAAGAATGTCTCGCTAAGGGCATACCGTTTTAATTTTCACGGAATTTTTTAAAAAGACGTTTCTTGTAGATTGAAATCAAGGTTGAAGAGGGTTACTCAAGTTACTTCCCAAATTTTTCAAATTTTTATCACCTTGGGGATTCAAAAAAATTCCAAGGTCCCAAGTTCTTAAATTTCTAAAATTTCAAGGTTTCAAGTTCTCAAGTTTCTAAATTTTCAAGGTTCCAAGTTCCCAAATTTGAAAATTTTCAAGGTTCCAAATTCTCAAATTACCAAAATTCTAAAACTCTAAATATTCCAAAAAATTCCAAGCTCTCAAAAGTTCTAAAACTCCAAAATATTCCAAAGTCCCAAGTTCTCAAATTCCCAAAATACCAAAACCCCAAATTCTCAAATTTCCAAAATTCCAAAATTCCAAAATTCCAAATTTCCAAATTTCCAGAACTCCAAAATCCCAAATTCTCACATTTCCAGAACTCCAAAATTCCAAATTCTCAAATTTTCAGAACTCCAAAATCCCAAATTCTCACATTTCCAGAACTCCAAAATTCCAAATTCTCAAATTTTCAGAACTCCAAAATCCCAAATTCTCAAATTTCCAGAACTCCAAAATCCCAAATTCTCAAATTTCCAAAATTCCAAAACTCCAAATTCTCAAATTTCCAAAATTCCAAAATCCCAAATTCTCAAATTTTCAGAACTCCAAAATCCCAAATTCTCACTCCCAGAAATTCCAAATCCCCAAAATCCCAAAATCCCCAGAACTCCAAAATCCCAAATTCTCAAATTTCCAAAATTCCAAAACCCCAAATTCTCAAATTTCCAAAATTCTAAGACCCCAGAAATTCCAAAAAATTCCAAGGTCTCAAGTTCGCAAATTGCCAAAAATCCCAAGTTCCCAAATTCCTCAAATCCCAGAAATTCCAAATCCCCAAAATCCCAAAATCCTAGAAATTCCAAAACCCCAAATTCTCAAATTTCCAAAATTCCAAAACCCCAAGGTCCCAAGTTCCCAAATTCTTCAAATCCCAGAAATTCCAAATCCCCAAAATCCCAAAATCCTAGAAATTCCAAAACCCCAAATTCTCAAATTTCCAAAATTCCAAAATCCCAAGTACTCAAATTTCCAAAAACCCTCAGTTCCAGATACCCAAAATACAAGAATGCCCTAAAGTCCCAAAATCTCTAAGTTCCATAAACTCCAATGCAAGGTCCAAAGTCTATCACCCACAAAATCCCCCAAAAAGTACT